ATGCTTCCATTCTATCTAAAGTTTCTTACTGTAATAGTGAAGATGCATGAAATAGTGTTGCTTAGTTAAGTCTGTACTAATCGTGCACTTCTGTGGGTAGTGCAAGTTCAGAATGCGTGACCAGCTTTTGTAGACTGTTTACAGAAGCATTTTACAAAGTTGTTTAGAAAGCATGTGTTTATAAGTATGTTAAAGGAAATCAATAATGCTATAAAAGCAACTGAAATTACTTCAATACAGAAATAACCGGTTGGAGTGTACTGTAGAAATTCAGCATACCTTCTGGCTGCTGTTAACGTTTATCTTTTCTCTCTTCCCCACTACCTGTCTTCTGCAGGCTTTCAAATACACCGCAGGGACCGTCAGCTAAATTCTTAGTGCAGAACGGTAAGTTGGTTGACATTATTGTGTTTGGACTCTTGCTTTCTTATCTGTACAGTTTTCTGTAAGTACTAAAATGATCTTTTTAAAAAAAATCACTGTAGTTCACACACTGGCTGAATTGAAGATGACAGGAAACTGCCTAAGGGGCTCACGGCCCCTTTTGTCTTTTGATCCAGTAAGTATAGGTTTTATTTCGTTGAGTATGCTTTTGTTTTCTTTGCATGACTATTGTGTTTAGCTTTGTATGTAAAATTACATTTTTTCTTTGTAGACATTTGACAAGGAGCCACACTATGCCCTGCTGAAAGAATTGTTTATTCAGGTCGGTCTGTAGTTCTGCTGTCCAGTGTTTCTTCCTCATTGGAAATGTTCTTTGGCAACGTATTTAAAAATCTCAAGGTTTTTTTTAAGTAGTAGTTTTACACTTCTGAACTTGCAAAAAAATCTTCAAAGGATTAGGGTCATGTGCTTAAAATCATTGGGACACTTGTTCTTAAGTCTTGAGTTTTGAAATGTAACCTGGGATCGGGATTGTAGTAAATTAAAATTAATTAAAAATAAGCCATTTACGTTTGGCCTCTTAAATTACAGATATTTAGAAGTACTGCCTTTTATTACAGATATTTAGTACACCACAGTATCACCCCAAAAGCCAGCCTTTTGTAGATCATGTTTTCACCTTCACCGTTACAGACGAGAGGATCTGGTTTCGGAATTACCAGGTTAGTGGTCTCTTAGCTCTTTGAGAGGAGCTCAGTGGAGTAGTCTCATCAAATCCATTAATTACAATAAAATGAGAAGAGTCATTATTATCAGGATATGCCAACACCTAGTGCTTGCACAAAGTAATTTCAGTGTCTTAAAATGACATCTTCTCCTGTATCTCTGGAGAGAGATGGTTTAAGTTCTGTGTACTTCAACTTGCATTCTGTTAGTTGTGATTCTGTGATGGTTGTCTCGGTAATGGGAAGCACTAGCAAAAGCCTAAGCTTTGCTTGCCTTTTAATCTTACTTGCTGCTTTGACCCAAAGCGTGCTGGAGCTTACTTTCTAAAGGAGGAATTCGCAAATACCTAGAACTCTCCAAGTGCTTGCTTGCACCTGAAAGAACTGCTTGATACACAGAATTGTGTTTATACAAGTCTAGCTTATGAGCTTCAGCGGCATCGTATCTTGGATTCAAATTCACTTGTGTATCGCTGTATGCAAGCTGCCTACAAGGTCATACACTTTGATTTGATCCATGAGAAATGGAGTATTCTTCTCATTGCAGATAATAGAGGAAGATGCATCTCTAGTAGAAATTGGGCCTCGTTTTGTCCTGAACCTCATAAAAATCTTCCAAGGTAGCTTTGGAGGACCAACTCTGTATGAAAATCCCCATTACCAGTCCCCAAATATGGTAAGCAGTTTTGTCTTTGTCTTCTCTTTTATTTAGCAACTAATTTGAAAACCGATCTTGCAGTCTGTCTGTGCAGGAGAATCATGTATGCCTTTCCCTGGGACCCTTTGTAGAAAAGAGTGCCCTAACTGATCACGATTTGAGAACAGGGTAATTTTGTAAAAATTGAATGAATGCAAAATTCATGTCACTGAAACGATTGCATTACACTGAGGATTTTGACAAGCAGAGAAATTATGCCTGTTTCTTTAATACCTGATTTTGTCCATCTTGCTTATTTGAAACCTGTTGTAATTTAAATTCTTATTTTTATAGCATCGACGGCTGATAAGATTGTCAGTGGCAGCTAAGTTCAGAGAGAAACAGCAAGTGAAGGAAGTACAAAAGATTAAGAAAAAAGGGAGTAAGGTGCTTATTGAAGAAGATCCCACCGAAGTGGTCTTTGAAACTCCAGCTGAAGAAAAGCCAGTAGAAATACAGCTCGTGAAACCAGAGTCAAAGCCAATTGTTAAAGATAAAAAGAAGCCACGCAAAATTCAGAGGAAGAAGCAAAAAAAGCTTTTCAGAACCGAAGCATCAGCATAAATGTTACAAGTGATGAAACTAGTTATATTGACATAATATTGTAAATACTTGTTTTTATGGGCAAAACTAACTGGACTTCAGTTTTAAGTAAACAAAATACCAATTTCTTTATTAGGATTGAGTTTGCACTCTTTTATTGTCTTCCTCTCCTTGAGAGGATTCTGGGTTTTGAAAAACAACATGGCAACAGAGAAAGGGGAATAAGACACTCCAAATATTTCTGCTTTTGAGAATTGGCCTCTGAGACTTTAATATCTCTGGGAGACAACTCACTGTAACATGTACAAGGAATAAAAATAACTGGGTGGTCATTGATGCTTGTTATGAACTGGCATTCAGAAGTCAGCTTTCCTAGTCTAACACCAGTAGAAAATACTTTAAAAAGTTTTAACTTTATAGGAATTCGCTCTTGGGGAGCATTGTTAATTTTTTCACCTCATAATCCCTCAGGAATGCAAAGGGTTATGGCCTCTTACTTGCTTTTTTTTATTAATAGTAAAAAAGCTGCTACTTTTGCCTGTGGTAGCTCCTGTACCTAATCAGGTTCTTAGGACCTGAAACGTAGCTGTGGGGAGAAACAGGCTAACTTATGATTCTAGCCCTTAATACCAAATTCATTGCAAGTTCCCTGAAGGCAAGAGGTGCCTGCTACCTGTGACTGCGTATAAAAACCGTACACCTACAGTAGCCTGAAATGGAATTGCCCGTGATTCTCTGTTACTGCAGTAGTGCTTAAAAGCAATGATTATGTTTAACAGAATTCCATGTTTTTATACGCTTACACATGCAAGCAATTTTTTTTTTAAATGCTGTCCTCTTGGTTCAATTGTATGTGTTGTTTTAGGTTTTGTTTTTCAAAGTAGAGTGAGTCCATACAGATTTTTCCATATAAAATTGGCAAATGAGCTTCCAATATTGCTTAAAAGTCATTACAACCAAAAGCCTTGATTTTGCTCATGGAGATAATGTCTGTACTTTAAATGCAGCAGAGTTCATTGCACACTGATGAGTAGCAGAAAGTCCAGAGTTTGGTTCAATGTATTTCATGCCCAGACAGTTAACATTGCCTCAGAGCTGCAGCATGAGGTCAGCTTTAATTTGGGGCTGTACTTTCAATAAGCTTTTAGGAAATTACTGTCTGCGAGTTAAATGAGTCACTATGTTCATAAGTTATTAGCTGGGGAAAGCAGCGTACAACTATTCTCTCACAGAAGGTATAATGGCATCAGCCTCCAACCAGACTAAAAAATTTCAACCATAATTGGGTGAGAGTTTCTCTACAGTGCTCAGCAAAAGTCTGATTCCAATAAACTTTTTCTTGACTGATATTAGCAAATAGTTACAGACCTCTCTGGGGCTATTTCTTAATTACCTTTCTTTAATCTGCTTTCCAGTTCCAGATGTCATGACCTGGTTCGTCCACTAACTGGTGCTGTCTCCCTGTCTGCCCCCCCCCAGCTTCTCTGTGTTTCAAGGTCTTGCTCATGCCCTGTTCCCATTTGTTTCCTCAGTTGGTTTCAGCCTTTGGCATCACAAGAGGACGCTGACCTATTAAGCACTAAATTTTATCCCACTTGGTAGGGCAAGGGAAATTCAGTGTCACCTCTGTAACGAGGTGGCCTGTGTGCCATCTGATTGGAAGGACTAGTGAATACAGGCATCTGCTCAGTTCATGTAGTCTAATACAGACAAACATAGAATATTTCAAGTTGGAGTAGAATATTTCAAGTTGGAAGTAACCTATAAGGATCATCAAGTCCAACTCCCTGCTCCTTGCAGGACTGCCTGAAACTAAACCATATGACTAAAAGCGTTGTCCAGATGCTGCTTGAGCTCTGACAGGCTTGGTGCCGTGACCACTTCCCTGGGGAGCCTGTTCCAGGGATCGACCCTCTTGGTGAAGAACCTTTTCCTAATGTCCAACCTGAACTTCCCCTGACGCAGCTTCATTCCATTTCCTTGTGTCCTGTCTCTGGTCACCAGAGAGAGATCAGCACCTCCCCCTCCGCTGCCCTCCATGAGGAAGGTGTGGACTGCCATGAGGGCACCCCTCAGCCTTCTCTTCTGCAAGCTGAACAAGCCAAGCGACCTCAGCCGCTCCTCCTAAGTCTTGCCCTCGAGGCCTTTCACCATCTTGGTCGCCCTCCTCTGGACACACTCTGACAGTCTGACGTCCTTCTTACTTGAGGCACCCAAACCTGCACACAGCACACGAGGTGGGGCCGCACCAGTGCAGTGCAGAGTGGGACAATCACCTCCCTTGACCGGCTAGCTACGCTGTGCTCGACGCACCCCGGGGCACTGTTGGCCCTTTTGGCTGCCAGAGCACACGGTTGACTCATATTCAACTTGCCGTCAGCCCAGACCCCCAGATCTCGTCGTCTAAACCAAAGCTCAGCTCGTGCAGTGCCAGCTGATAAACGTCTCATCTATGGAAAAAGGTGGCTTGGGCCAAACCTGAGACCTCTGAGGAGCACAGGTGTCAAAAAAAAAAGTTAACACTGATAACCTGAGGCATGGGAGTTGCCTTGGCTGTACCTCCGAGCTCCCGAGCGCTCACAGAAATTCCAGCACAAGGCGTTTGGTTATTTGACATCGGGTGACCGTAGGACCAAAATCCGGCAGTACGGATGGGGACAGCAGCCTCCCCGTCTTTCTCCTTCGGCCACCAGCCGGGTGACACAACGCGCCCGCCAGCCTCGCTCG